ATCAAGTGGAGAACACTCAATTTAGTTATAACGAGAAAATAAAGAAGCTATAATAATCAAAACAATATTATTAGCTTTTTGATTTGCTAATAAAATAGAAGCTTAAAAGCGAAAACCGCCTATAGTGGGTGGTAATTTGCTAAAAGGAAAAACCGGGAAATTTTCAATAAACACAGTTGGGGATTGAAGGACTTTATACACAGATTTTTCTCTTAATACGTAAAAGTCTTGCGGGAAATAACAATGCAAAGAACTTTCTTAAAGCTCCAGTTTTGTTTACACCACTCCAAGGCCAGAACAATACATAATACACAGCGCAGAATATTTTACTTCTTTCAATGAAACTGATTGTTTCTTGCACTTCAAACCCAGCTCCATTTTCAAATGGATTTCACAATTTCCAGATTGTATTTACGTAAAAGGCTTTTTGCTAGATTCACGTTGTAGTCGAACAACCACATCTTGTTGTAAAAGTTATAGTTTGTAACGGAAGTTAGTCAACCAAGTTAAAGTCAAACACTTTTGGCACGTATCATTGAATGTGGACGTCAAACAAAAGATCGCGTATGAAAAAAATAATTTTCATGAAATTTTGAAACGCCCCAAACAGGATTACGTTTTAAGGCTACAAATTTTCCGAAACGTGAGTTTCTGTTCCGCGTCGTAAGTAATGGATGAGACAGTTATTAAACCTCTGAAATGAGAACCGTCTATTTATTGCACAATGATAAGATTAATGAAAATAATCTAAATCTAGATGACGTTGTAGTAGTGAGAACAGTTATATCGTAGATAACACTTTACGGAAGGCGGAACCACGGCCACGGTGGAACACTTTAGCTTATTGCAAAGCAGACTTGGAAAGGTGTGCAGAACAATTAAGTTTACTGAAGATAAGATTTGTTAGAAGATAAGTTATTATCTTTTACTAAAGATAAGACTTCATAGAGGTGGAGAAGAGTTCAGCGTTTTAGATGATATTTAATATAAGTTTTCTGTTGATAAAAATTCTTAGATATGCAGTAAAGTTTAGCTTATGATAACCTTCGGTGTAGGTGCAGAACAGTTAAGTTTATTGCAGAGCAGACTTGGAAAGGTGTGCAGAACAATTAAGTTTACTCAAGATAAGATTTGTTAGAAGATAAAAAGTTATTATCTTTTACTTAATATAAGATTTCATAGAGGTGGAGAAGAGTTTAGCGTTTTAGATGATAGTCAATAAGTTTTCTGTTGATAACAATTCTTAGATGTGCAGTAAAGTTTAGCTTATAATAACCTTCGGTGCAGGTGCAGAGCAATGTTTATTGAAGACAAGTTAGCGGCGACGTCATTGATCCATCCCCCCCCCACCCTAGTGGCCTTTAAATGTCAAAACTTGCGTCGGTCGACGACACTTAATAGGCAGTGTAATAATAAACTGCCACTTAAACGACCAGAGGACCTCCTCAAAGAACTGTCGTTAGCAAAGAGTATCGCTGTAATCAATAAAAAGTTAGTAATTTACCTTTAAAATAGATGAACCAGTGATTACCAGTGTTGTCCCTTAACGTTAATAACTCACGGATGTTGAAGCATGATTAAAGCAGAATGTTAAAACTTATATGTAACAAACTTACTGAAGATATTACAGTTAAAGACAATTATTGCAGAATTATAAAATTGCTACATAAGACAAAATTAGTAACTTAAAATATATATCACTAGCAACAGAGCCCGTTGGGGTTAAATACAACGGTCTCTAGTAAAATAATGGTTGTGAAATCCATCCACCACTTAACTCACTAATATTAATGGTACAGATTAAGCACATAACATTAGAATCGCATACTTAACATAAGGAACTCACTTTAAACACAAATGCAAATTGTTAACAACAACATTTAATCAAAGAAAAATCAATTAAATAACAATATAACAATAAGCTGTAGATTTTATTTGAACGCAAGTACCTAATGTATTTTGAGCAATTATACTATGAAAATATAACTTAAGTGTACACAGAATCTATCAGTAGAGTGGTTATATTGCTAGCGGAATAACCTAAAGGCCACCGGTGTGATCCCGAGATGACGGTAATAAACTAGACTCATATATCCTTAAATTTTTAATAAATGGTCCTCGATTAATAGTGAGCATGTCTTAAAACAAAGCTACTAAGGAATATAAGTCCATTATAAGAGAACCCTCCATATTTGGGTAAAAACACGTGCAGTTCGGTCCCCATCTCTATTGGCCATAATAGTAATACGCGTTCCAGAAAGGAAGAAAAATATAATTATCGTACAAAACTTCATGGCAAATTGTGAATTACCATAGTAAAACATACCAAACGTTAGGACAGGGTGGATATTGACATGAGGTTCAGTGGTTCAGTGCACATGACATAGCGGTGTGACGTCACATCTCGTTATAGAGGATTACAGCTTACAGCTTACGTGAGAGTCAGGATAAGTATGGATGAAACTGTAAGCTGTATTGAGCCATACATGCAGTCTTTACATAACAACACAATGTAAGCTTTTGCTGGCATTTCGCTGCGTACACTGCATCATTATTCTAAAATAATGATCGATTGTGATTCGCTATGGCTGAGTTTAATTACGTCTGATATGTACATATATCATTTTATTTTGGAGCAGAATAGGGTAGTTTTCCAGGACAGTTTAGCTATAGATAAGATTTGGAAAGGTGTATGGCAGTATGGTGTATGGAATTTTGTAGATTATATTTGTTAGATGTAGAAAACGATTTAGCTTATTACATACAAGACTTTGTAGAGTGTCGCTTCAGAATAGTTAAGCTAATCGTCGATAAGATTTATTATTGATTGAGAAAATCAAGCTTGTCATCGAATAACAAATTTCAGTAGATAACGATAATGATAGATTTCATTTCCCTGAGCTCATGGTTGGGCGTAGAACTACGGCGCGGCAATTTAGCTTTCTAAACAATTTTGCTTGGTTCAAAATTAAGAAAACATAAAAACTAAGTTGGGTTGATAATTTTGAGCAAGTCAGTAATAAGTACAAGTAAATTAAAGGAATTTAATTAAATGTGTATGATTCAACAATTACACTAATGATCACGACACTGCATAATATAGTCACAGAAAATGTTGTGACTTTGAATTAGAGTTCATAATAAGCACACATTTGAAGAAACTCTTTTATTAAAAATTGTTATGATTAACTATAATAGATCAACTGTAATAAAGGAAAATGTAAACATTGAAAAACAATTATCATCTGTCTTGACCTTATTTGAATTATACATATTAACTAAATCATATGAAGTCAAGATAGACTAAAGGATATGACAGTCTCCCCCACTAATTAAGAACAATCTTTTTCAATCAGATCTGGTAGTCTCTAAATCTTGAGGCATGTGACGCTTACGCTGTGGTCTGGCGTTGGTATTATCAGCTTGCTCACGATGTGATATGTCATTCTCAGCTTGAGCTCTTTCTGGAGATTGTACTTCTGGTTGCCTTGGTTCTGGAGCTGCAACTGGATCTGGATTCCTATGTATTTCTGGTCGTCTTGGAATTCTGGGAACATCAAACAACTGCGTTGGTCCGAATGTAACATTTTTCGTTTTTGGACTCTGTACCAGCGTTGGGCGTAGTTGATTGATGTGCCTCTTCAGGATTCTATCAGATGAGTCGAGAACTACGAGATAGTGTCTTTCCCAAGCTTCTTCTTTACTTGACCAAACTGCCATGTGTTTTTATTATTGATGAAAAGTTTGACCTGTACTCTCTCCCCCACATATAGTGAACGTGCAGGTGAAAACTGTGAAGTTGAAGGTTGAGGTTTGTACGGGAAAATGGCATTCAGTCTTATCCTTATTTTTCTGTGCAGGTAGAGTTCCGCCGGGGACTGACCACAAGCTAGCGGTGTTGATCTGTACCTTTGTAAAATATTTTGAATTTTGGTTTGGATTGGAGTTTGGTCAGTTGAGACTGCCTTCAGGCGATTCTTTAGTGTTTGGATTGATCTCTCGGCTAAACCGTTTGTTGCCGGATGCCCTGGAGCGATGAATTTCTGGAAAATACCGTTTTTTTTCAGTAATTTTGAAAAATATCACTTTTGAAAATGGTAGCATTATTTGAAACGAGTACTTGAGGATATCCATGACATGAGAAAATTCCTTCTAAAAGATTAATTGTGTTCGCACTAGTAGGTGAGTCTTTGATGATTTTCACCTCCGCCCATTTAGATTTTGCATCAACACACATGAGAAAATATGTATTATCAAGCGGTCCTGCATAATCAATATGAACCCTTTCCCAATTTTCTTGTGGTGTATCCCAGGGATGTACTGGAACTTTGGGAGGGCTGTGACGTGTGAGAGCACATTTTTCACATCCTTTGACTATACGTTCTATTTCTTTGTCGTTACTGGGCCAGTAGACGTAGCGGCGGGCCAGCTGTTTCATCTTTGTTATACCTAGGTGGGTATAATGAAGTTCATTTAAGATTGATGGTCGTAAGCTTCTTGGAATAATTACACGATCTTGGCGAAATAAAATCCCGTCAACCAATGTATATTCTGTTTCATCAGACTTGTTTTTTAGATCTTTTACAATTCTTGATAAGTCTTGATCCTTTTCTGTTTCACTCCTTATTGTTGAAGCGGTTATGTGTTCATCTGACATCTCGAAAATCATTTGTTCGTATACTTGGTTGACTTCATTGGCAATGATTTCATCAACAGTCGAATTTACTTGCTGAAGTGGAGCTCTTGAGAGGCAGTCAACATTTTAATTTTCCTTGCCAGGTTTGAATTTTAATGTGTAGTTGAACCCGGATAAGTATGATGCATATCGGAGTAAACGTCCTGATGTCATTTGAGGGAGTGCTTTGTTGTGCTGGAAAATCCGTGAAATGGGTGCATTGTCAGTTACTAGTGTGAAGTGAGTCCCAAAAAGGTAATAGTAGAAATGTGACACACCAAAAATAATAGCGAGGCTTTCACGGTCTAATTGACTGTAATTTCTTTCAGAAACTGTAAGAGAACGTGAAGCATGCAATGGGCTTTTCTTCTCCTTCTGTGACATGACTAAGCACGGCTGCAAGTCCTGCAGGGCTGGCGTCTGTAGTTAGTACTAGAGGGAGAGCCGGATCGAAAGGTACGAGAACTCGATCACTGCAGAGCTCTGATTTGATTTGTAAAAATGCTGCTTCACAGGATGAATTCCATTCCCATTTCATATTTTTCTGTAACAGACGTCGCAGAGGATATGTGATAGTTGAAGCATCAGGGATGAAACGTGAGTAGTACGACACAAGTCCGAGTAGACGTTTGACCTCTTCAGTATTGGACGGGCGAGGCATCTGTTGGACTGCTTGAATTTTTGTTGGAGATTTACTAACTTTGTTGAACTCTACGACTCGTCCTAAATACTCAATTTTTCTTGAAAAAATGAGCATTTGTTTCTGTTGACATGTAAATTGTAATCAGAGAGTCTCTGTAGACAGGCTTGTAAATTTTCACTGCATTCTTCAATGGTCGAACCATGAACAATGATGTCATCAAAATATGCTTCTGTCTTACGTAACCCCTTTAAGATCTGAGAGAGTATGCGGTTGAATTCTGATGGTGCAGTTTTGATGCCAAAACTGAGTCTATGTACTCTATAAGTACCTCTGTGAGTCGTCATTGTCTGTATCATGCTAGATTCTTCATACACCTGGAGATGTAAATAGGCTTTGTAGAGGTCAAGTTTGCAAAAGTATTTTGAATTGCGCAAACTGTCAATAACATCATCAATACGCCTTATAGGATGATTTGCTTGAATTAGACGCTCGTTGACACCGCATTTGTAATCGACGCAGAGGCGGACACCACCGTCTGGTTTAGGAATGACAACCAGTGGCGATCCCCAATCGCTGGCCTCTACAGGTGAAATGATCCCTTCATTTTCCAGTGTGTCCAATTCCTTGTTCACTCGGTCGGTTAAAGCATGTGGGACATTTCGTTCCTTAACAAAAATAGGTTTTGCACCATTTCGAAGCTGTAATGACACTTTGAAGTCTGGAACGCATCCAATTTTCTCTTCAAAAATGTTGGAAAAAGACTCAAAGATTTCTTCAGGAGACTGGATTCTTTTGATTTGGGAAATTCGAGTGCTTTGATTTGTGTCTTCATTCAATTCGTTCAGTTCGATTCCTAGGGCTCTTATCCATTGACGTCCCAAGAGTGCTTCGTGCCCTGTTGGAACAATGTGGAGTTCCTCTTTGATGCAACGTCCACAGTAAGTAACATTTATTTTCACTTTCCCTTCAGGTTTGATAATATTACCTGACTGGGACGGGTGGCGTCGTCCTGTAATCCAGCTACTAGGAGGTCACGAATTGTGGATATTTATAGGGATGCACTGTGGATGCGATGCTCCCTGGTGTGGATTAACGTCCGCACTAGTGAGTACTACGACTATCCGCAGTACTATCCTGATAATTAGACCAATTCGTAAATTACAAGGAAAAATGTGGTTCGGATTCCACTATAAACTGTAGGTCCCTTAGTTGCCATTAGCTGTATGGGCTATTAATTAACAGCTGTGTCTAAGGAATATGTCGGCCTTAGTCACTAACAAGACTACAAGATCGCGCCACTCATCCTACACTCATCCTTCACTCATATTTGGGTTAAAATACGCACATAGTGGCGTCCCCATCTTAACTAATTGATAATAATAATTGAGTAAGTTCTGAAAGCAATGTTAGTTGTTTCCAATGGAATGTCCAATTTGAGTTTGTCGAAATCATTTTTAGCTAGAAGTGAGAATTTTGCTCCTGTGTCTACTTCGAATTGTTGTGGTTTACCATTGAGATGAACTGTGATCATGTATTTGTCTGAATTGTTATTTACTTCAAACAGATCTAGTAACTTCGGGCTTGAATTGACATTAGTTACTTTATTTAGTCCGTAATCAGAAAATTTTAATGTAGACTCTGTAGGAGAACAGCACTGGATGTAGTTGGCTGCACTGGGAGAATTGATTTTCTTCTGTTCTGCGATAAGGGTCGAAATGCACACTTTAGATATGTGTCCTTGCTTGTTACATTTGTTGCACTTGAGCTTGGATTTGTCGGTGCGGCATTCGGATGCTTGGTGATTGTCTTTTCCATACCTGAAGCAAAGATTACCAATTCCAAGAGATTTCAGATCTGGACGTGTTCGAGAGCGTGAGGAGTGACCCTGTTGCTGTCTGGAAGGTCGATTACTGGTTTGGAATTGAGATTTCTTGGCTTTATGTGAAACTTTATTCACATCGTCACATATATTGAAATTTGCATTAGGCCTACTTGAATGTGAACGTTTAGACAGTTCCCTGGATTCAATTTTTGATGCTTCGAGGGCGATTGCTCTGGTAAGGATTCCTTCAAAAGTAGTTTCAGTTGACCGTAGAATTTGTTCTCGTAGCCAGTCATCTCGCAAACCTCGAATAAACTGGGCTCTCAGGAAAACTTCGGCAATTGAAACTGTCTGGTCACATGAACACTTGACAGAAAATTCACACTCAGCAATATCATGTTGTAGGGAAGCCACGAATTCTGTTATTGATTGGTGTTCTTTTTGAAATACATTTAGAAAATAGTGTTGAGATACTACAACGTTCTTCTTAGGAATCAATAACTGCTTGAATGCTGTGATAAGCTCATCATAGTTGAGACTTTTCAATTGTTTCTCGGGGTCTAGAAAAGAATTAAGATTGTTATAATGATCACTGCCGATAGAGATGCACAGTAGCTGTCCAATCTTAGTTGAGTCTGTTAGGCCTTTCATGGTGTAATAGTTTTCAAAACGTTCTAGGTAACATGTAAATTTTTCTTTCTTTGGATCATAGTTTTCAAAAGGAGCCACATTTGAGTAGTTGACCCGAGGTATCTCAGTCTGTTGATCATTCTGTTTTAAGACAGTTTCTAGTACTTCTTTAATAAACTTGTTCTGGTTTTCTTGCTGTTGTCTCTGTTGTTCTTGAAATATAGTAAGGAATTGATTGAACTGATCTGCATTCATTTTGATTACAAAATAATTTGAACACAACTTCTGACAAATTTAGTAATCTTACATGTAATAATTATGTTTTTCCTTCGTCTCCAAATAATTGTTGTGACTAATGGGTGGCCTGGTATTGTAAATGCTGATAAGTAATCACACTGGATAAATTGTATCTATTTTTTATTGAATGTAACTAAAAGTAAACTCATTTATATAAATTTTTATGACCAACTATAATAAAGTAAAATGTAAACATTGAAAAACAATTATCATCTGTCTTGACCTTATTTGAATTATACATATTAACTAAATCATATGAAGTCAAGATAGACTAAAGGACAGTTATGGATTAAGAAATTAAACTGAATTCTTAACTAACCTAACATAACTAACCAAGAACTTGCTTTACCATTTTCAAATTCCGTTTGATAACGGAAAAGACATACGGGGAATATCAAACAGAATTTTGAAATGTTACAGAAAGATTGGTTAGTTATGTTCGGTTAGTTTAGAACAGTTTCATTTCATTATAATTTTTTTTTTTAATTGTTTGTTGGTACTGAACACTGAACAGTATTTATTCATCGTAGTTGTCAGCTGGTATGTTTAAATTCCTTAATTTTGATATTTCGGGAAAAATAGGTAGCCTTACTTTGGTATTATCCGGAGGCCACCCTTATACAGCACACTGTGACTGTTATGTTAGGTTGGGTTATCATAAATATGTTTGTAGGGCTTTCCTCGTTTCATTATGAATCAAACAATACCAGATGAGTCATACTTTCACTCGCCAAATTCCCTCCAAGTAAGTTAGGCCAAGGTGAGGTCGTTGACTGGAGCACGCGCAACACTGTCACCGCCTGTATCTGGTGTAGCAGCTAGAGGCAGCGACGCATTCAACTCAATCACTGCCTTCTGGAAGCTGAACTCAAAATCCGCTAATTGTAATCATGTCAAATTTGGACAGTAAGTCAATTAAAGTATGTTCCTTCCATTTATGATAACCCAACCTAACATAAGCGCCGCAGCGCGCTGTATAAGGGTGGCCTCCGGATAATACCAAAGTAGAAAAAAAAATATTGTTATTTAAAAAAAAAAATTTCAATAATAATAATGAATGTTCGCTTTAACAGGAAAGTGCCCTTGGAATATAAATTGGAAATCTATTTCTGTACATTTAAAGTGGATACAATATTTTCACAGCCCAGTAAACAAGCTTTCGCACCTATTCTTAAAAAAAAAAAATACACAAACACCATTAGCAGCCTCCAAATAAAACAGCTGTTACAACACTACTTGCAACCTAGCCACTTTGATGGCCGCGGCTTGGAGTAAAAAGTGGGCATGGTTCCAATATGTTCCATTTTCATTGAAAATACAACTCTGTAACAGAACTTTTAAAACCTGTTGTTTATTGACATTTCTGTTTAATTATCTATTTTAATTTTTTTTGTTTTTGTTTTGGCCTACCTACCTTACGTTACATCAGTAGTCTACTTAAGTTAAATATGAATGTAGGCCTACCTATAACGATTACACAGATTTATTTTTGGCACACTGAGCTGTAGGCCTATGTAGCTCTGTAGTTAAATTGTATACCATACACAACTTGCTTAAATATACTGTAGCTTGATACATTAAAGACAACGAGCTGTTGGCCCGTCCTGCGTACGGGAATCGAGTCGTCCATTAAAACTGTCTATTACTAATTCAATCTTAGTTTAAGCAGTTCAAAATTTATTGTAAAGAAAAAGCGGCCAAGATGAATTAAAACATGTGATCATTGTTATTTTCCCAACCTTTCCTCAAAAAGTCAAGTAGTAAAATAACTTTCATAAGCTTTCTTTTGAAGATTCAGGAGCTTCGATTCGTATACAACAATGGTTATAGAATCTTACTTATATTTCCTATAATCGATGACAAAATCACAGAATAAATAAACTAACCTCATTGTTCTATAGAATATTTTTTATTCAACTAGCTGTTAGTTATAACAAATTATATTGCACTAAAACAAACTAAATATTTTTCCTACAGTTACCTAACAATGTACATGTTCTCTCACTGATTTGAGAAAGCAAAGTGGCCAATTCGCTCATCAGTGAGACAATGTTAACATTGTCTCACTCTAATTACTTTGTCTCACTCGCTCCAAGTTTGCAACGTGAAGGCACAAAATAGTGAGCGCGTAACATGCAGACAAGGTCGTATGCGCGCGAAATACATTGGCAGCACTCGAGCACTGGCTGTAAATCAGCTGGTCAGCTGTTGTACTGTTGTATCATTAAATTTAATATTAAAAGTTCACTTCTGTGTAAAAATATGTCACGTTTCTTTACCAATTTATTTGTTTTATGGTAATTGTAGGAAAAATATAATGTGCAACTCAAGTGCAAAGTGCAATTGCCTCACTCGAGAAACCATTCCTCACTCGCCTACGGCTCGTGAGTAAGTATTTCTCTCGAGTGAGTCAATTGCTCCCTTTGCTCACTAGTTGCACAAATAACTATTAAAGACTGCTCAAAAAAATAAATTAGAACATGTAGTATTTTACTATGTATTTAAATAATCTATCATCATCTTACCGAATAAATGGATGCATCAATGATTATAGCATTAAACATAGTATAAATAAGTCAATTCTACATGTCATATCAATTTCATCCAAATGCTGAATTTGTGTAGAAAACGCTGAATGTTTACATTTGTTACGTTAAGCAAATGGTATTATACCAAAAGCTAGAGTAGAATGTTAGCGTCGGCTGCTAGACTTTTTAAAATTTAAAACTTAATTTATAAAAAACTAAAACCCTAAACTAAAATTATGGTTTCGACATTCCCTAGTTCTCATAATTATCTTTCTTTCAACACAAAAATCATGAAAATCCGTCAAGTGGTTGATTCAGATACGTGAAATAAAAAAACCCTGTCACGTTTTAATATATAAGAGTGCACCTGTTGCTCGAATTTGAGCAATTGCAAATTATTATAGGTATTATTTCAAAACGAATAACCCTAACAGTCATCATTTCCTATGTAAATAGCTGCAATTAATACAAATTATTCGTCTGTTTAAGTAAACAAAATCTGTTCTTCAAAAGAAATACATTGAGATTTCGATGGCCTGTGGGGCAAAGTCCGAGGACTTTTATTACAGGAATTGGTGAAAGGGGGCGTCTACACAAAAAATTCTTTATTTTGACATGTCGTTTGTAAAAATCCGTTAATTATTAACGGAGGAGTAGTGTTTCGTAGAAATCGCCTTCACGTATTATATATAAGGATGATAAGTGGGCCTAGCCTAAAAAGCAAGCATCTTTTTCTTTATTTAGTCCTATTCATTTATTCAAACGGTAAGCCTAATACCCAATACATTGAATAAAGAATTAGTAACATGGCACAATGTGTGCAAGATGGCTAACAATAGAGATCAAAGTTACAAATATTTAAAATAAATAAATTAACATATAGTAATCACTGAACTAAACTGAAAGAGATACTATAGAGTGATCATTGTTCAAATAAATAATAGTAGGCCTACATTATTAGTGCATGCATTACCTGAAAGCACAACAAATAATCAAATAACACTTGTAATCCCACTTATAAATGAGAAAGTTTGGATGTATGTATGGATGTTTGTGACAAGTAAACGCGAAAAATACTGGTCAGATTGGGCTGTTTCTTTACTTGTGTAAGTAACTAGAAGTTTATTGGAAGATGGATTAGCAAGAGTGAAGAATGTGTGTAGTGAATTACAATTGTATTATGATGTGAATATTTTCTTGAACAATGCCAGGTATTAAGACGTGCTCTTTTATTGCTTGTTTGTCAACTCGCAGTAATAGTCCAAGTTTGAGATTTTTAAAATTTCCTATTAAAATAAGAGTGTATGTGAAAAATGGGTAGCAAACATGGCAAACGAAAAACTGTAAGGCCTTCCTGACACTGCTTTACATTCACGTTTAGTGTGTGAACTGCATTTGAATCTAATTGCTTTACAAATAATATGAGAAGTAAACTAAATAAGGAGGCTGTGCCAACATGACTAGTTATGTACTAACTATGGATGTACATTGGTTGTTACTCAGCAGTATGCAGTCTGCACTCATTGCTGCCTCTACAGACGATCACCCCTGTCTCGCAGTAGCAGATCCTTAATCCCCTAGCGATAAATTCACCAGTATTTCTACTGTCAATGTCTCACTATCTTAGAGTTTGCCTAAAGACTGCACGATAGAGTGCCGAAATATATTATTGACTTCTATAATGAAATAATTTGTAATTTTTTGTCAATTGAATGTAGACGAATGTTGAACGTTGTGGTTTAAGTCTTTATCAACGAAACATCAACGAAGTCCATTAAGAGGGTAATAAGTATACTAGGCTATATAGGGATCACTTTCGGAGAGGGACGGTTAAGCAATTTCTGCTCCAGGGTGCTCGAAACCTGGCTACGCCACTGCAAAATGCCTTAATTATTGTTAATTCAGGAACTAACTATGAATAGCTATACTGGGAAAGCGAACGAAATGCCTGTTGCAAAATGTAGTCACGGGCATCTGGTACAAAGTATTCGACCTATTATTTAATATAAACAAAACCAATAGTCAGTACTTAGAAAGGTAAAGAAAATATGAGTGAACAGAATACAAGGATGTCCCGTTAATCACCTTTCACGTTTTTCCGAATGGACTTCATTTGAAATTTCTTAGATTTTCGTTTAAAAACAGGCCATTCCAGTTATTGGGGTATCGGGTCAGTTCACTTTCGCGTGATTGCAAGAGTGTGACTGACCTCCAATTTCCAACCTAAATATTGTTCTTATATTACGTGGTAAAGAGAACCTCTTTAATTTATATATATTTAAGGTTCCGCTATTGATAAAACTATGTGTTCTTATATTTATTGTATATAGTCGTCAGTTAAAAGATTTGTTATACAAAACAATCCAAATCTATGATTTGTATGATATTGGATACGTTTTCTTCAAAGCTCTATTGCAAACGGCACTTGCAAAATACAGTACCACTAATGTGACAAAATAATACGTAGTATGAAAACAAATGCCGATCTGTTTAGAGAGATGTTCTTCCTACAAACTATGTATATTGCTATGACTAAAATAGCTCAAGTAGCCAGTGAATGGTTACTGGTTAGGTAGCAGGGTACAAACCATGCATTCCTCATCATTAGTTTGTAATAAGATAGGCCTATTGCATGAAATTAGAAATCCAGAAACAAACATTGTGGTTGACTAAAGCTATGAGAATTCCGAAATCAGAAAAGTAAACATCATAAAAAGTCACGATTGTTCAAAACTTGTAAGATTGATAAATTGTTAAATTGGTAAGGGTTCTTTAAATATACTTTATAATTCAATGTAGAAATCATAACATTGTAAGCTTATTATATCACTGTAACCTTGCAATTTTTGAAGATTTTCATTCACGCATGTTTACATCAATAAAACCTTTGCTACATTGTTCTCCTTTAGCTTAACTTAGACACTGTAATTTTAAATTAAGTAATAGTAATTGTTGTTACTACGTGAAGGTGGCCCCATCCAAAAACGACATGCAAAAAATTTCCGTAAGCTGCAATATCTATTTTGTGTAGCATGTGTAATCTGTGGTTTTATTAATGCTTATGAGTTCAAACGGGGTGAAGCCCGTGGTTAACAACTAGTTTTGATAAATGTTAGGTTTTCTACTATTTATTAGTGTGCAGTACTACGGTTACTTTACCGTGGAGTAAAATGTTATACGCTTGGCATTAAATAGGCATAGATTTAACTCAAACTTATTAAGAAATTAAGTGCTGTTATTTTTCTATGCATCGGGGATTCCAAATAACCCTGAAGAGAAATCAAATAAACTGATTTTAAGCTTTTCTAATTAGATACTCTATTTTGAAGGATGAACAGCTTTGTCAACCTTTTGGAATTTAAATTTCTTTCCTATGAATTTAATATGGGTCAAGTCTTATTCATATTCAAAATAATTTTTCGCTGTAAGCTAATTATGCATCCTATTTTCATAAATATAAATTTTACGCTGAAGATTGGAAAGTTATACCATTTTCAGTGTTTGTTTTCTTAATTTTAGGAGAAACTGTTATGGCAGTTAAGTGATTGTTTTGAGTTAGCTGATGTGTAATTTTGTAAACATTTTTCAGGTGACTTTTGTCAGGGAAAATGATGAACGGAGGGACTAAAGAAATTCAGTCAAAACCTTATTTGATGAAGCTGTCCTCCTACGTCCTCGCCTTGCGGCCATGGTCCCTGAGTGCTTCGGTGATGCCTACACTACTTGGGTACGCAATCGCTCACAAGTTCAGTGATGCAAGGACTACTGAGTGGAGTTTCTTTATATTATTGCTAACACTGATCATCGTCACCTCAGTTCACGGGGCTGGAAACGTTGTGAATACGTATTTCGACTACGTGAAAGGTATTGATAGCAAAAAGAGTGACGACAGAACTTTGGTAGATCACATTCTCTCAAAAGACGAGGTTGTAACTCTAGGTGCTATGCTATACGCGGTTGGCTGTCTAGGTTTCATCACTCTCGCAGCGTTATCTCCAGCTAAAATGGAGCATTTGGCTTTGGCTTACTTCGGTGGACTTTCCAGCTCGTTTCTCTATACCGGTGGGATTGGCTTGAAATACATAGCTCTGGGAGATGTTATAATACTCATAATCTTTGGACCAATTTCGGTTCTGTTCTCATTTATGTCACAAACAGGGCGGCTGGAGTGGGCGACTATCTACTACGCTGTTCCTCTCGCTCTCAACACCGAGGCTATTCTACACAGCAACAACACGAGAGATGTGGAGAGTGATCGTAGCGCAGGCATCGTCACCTTGGCCATCATCATTGGACACACAGCCTCGCACATCTTATATGCCTTCTTACTGTTTACACCGTACATAATCTTCGTTGTTTCAGCCATGAGGTATTCTTTGTGGTTTCTACTACCTCTTGTGACTTTGCCCTCTGCTTTTAGCATTGAAAAACAATTCCGTTGTCAAGAGACCATCCAAAAGGTACCAAAGGAAACGGCAAAATTAAATTTGTTTTTCGGGTTCCTTTATGTGATCGGACTAAGTTTGGCCGATACTCACCGTCTTCCGTTCATCCACTGAGTCTCGATAGTATAAAGAGTTTTAGTTATGTATCTCATTTTACAAAATAATTTATGTCTGTTGATTAATTTAACTAACTAGTATGTCATAGGCTCATCATTATCCATATTTTTTGTAAATAATATTAGTCGATTAAGTTGTGGATTTTTAAACATAATGTTTGAGTATGTGCTTTGTCTGTGTAAGTCTACTTAGATTGTGTTATTTATTTATGTATAGTATTATTAAAAGCTGTATTGAAGTAAGGAACTTGGATAGGTAACATTTAATCCAAAGATATTAAGTTTCAATTAATTATGATTAAACTAGATTGAAATTTTACCCAGCCTTAAAATATTTTGTTCAGAAATCATCTAAAATATTAATCTAGCTCTGATGTGTAGCCAAAGGAATTTATAATGTGAGTTGAAAGTTATCTTTTTGCCCTATTTAAGTGATCATTTGTAACATAACGTGTAAAATATATAATGTTTTTCCAGTTGATATGGCCTTTATGAATTCTGTAATCTTTATATTTTTGACCTCTATGATAAATATAGTAATTTTATAAAAAAAGATTTTTGTATGTTTTATTTAAAAATCTTTCATGACAACATTTTACTACCGGTAGTTCAAAAAGTGTTTGTATTCTTTTGTTTCACTTCAAAACTTATTTATTTTTTATTTTAATAAAATAATTACCGATCTGTTTTTTACACACATCGGACATGGGAATCTTTGTAATTTTATGCAATTCTACAAGTATACATTCTTTTTTTTAAAGTCATTTTGATTTCATTCTCTTTAAAGTATTTCAACCCATAAATTAATAAATGTGTTAAAATAAGCTGGCATGAACACTGTTCTCGTTAGGAATGTATTAGGTCCATTAATATAAAAAATTATGATTCCAATACATTGTTAACTTTCAAAGGATTGCATTAACCTATATTTTTGTATTTTGAGTATTCCATTGTCATTGAAAATTTAATTGCAATGACTTAATAACATTTTAGTTTTGACTATTGACTTCAGTATCAACTAGTCAATATCTGTAATAGAATTAAAACTTAGAGGGTGTTTAATATCCTCTGTATATCTTTAGGTACATTAAACACTATACTGTCCATTAAATTAATACTAGAGGTCGTCCAGTGGTCAAAAACTCGACCAAAAATATCTAATGTACAGACTTCTCTATTTTCACCCCACGCTATAAATAAAACATTGATTGGAAATTCTTACATATGTTTTGATTTTCTGTCTATATTTCGTTGTTATTTTTTCACCAGCATGGCAACCCACAAGGACCATGTTAATATTTTTTAATTCATTTTTTAAACTTATTTTAATTTATTAAGGGATTTTGGATTCTGCATATCTAAAAGCAAATTTCTTTCCAACAGTATGCGTAGAGTTTCCCTGCGCATAAGAAAAAAGATTTCCAAGAAACGTGCCTGCCTATTAATTAATTGCTTGCCTATTAATTTATAGATGATCTTTAACCTACTAAACCAATCCTAAAAGCGGCATGATGAGACTCGGTTTACAGAGCTCTACCTATACTCGATTTCACATTATCAAACAGATCAGGTATTATAAAATTAAATAAAAAAAATATAAAAAAATAAAAAAAGTTATAAAAGATAATTGTGCTATTGACATTGGTGGAAATATCATGCTCATTTGCCATTTGGGTTGCTCCAACTGTTCCCATGACTCATAAAATGCTGAAGTACTTTTTTACTTATTGTTTTAAATAATAATATACACACTTTGCATTAGACCATGTAAATATTTTCAGGCAAAAAGGGATTATTCTCTTGAAATAAAACACAATCAAAAGGTACATATTTTATTGGGCCAATTGTAACTGCATCATAAACACATACTTATCAACACAAGTAAGCATTGATGGGTTAATGATTGAAATTGTCAATGTTGTGTTGATGGAACGATGGAGTTGACCCAGGAAGAGAGGTTAGGAATGTCAGTGTACAACACTGGGTTGCCAGGTTTACAGTCGTAACCTCCAGCGAACAGGCCATACAACTGAGTGTTGGCTACCAGCGGATCTCCAAAGTCATACTGCAACATCAATTATAGTCATTTAACCTTCGGCAATAATTATTAAATATTCATTTTACCTGTGTCTTCGTTCATGATTTAACAGATTTTGGTGTGAAATGTAAAGATTTGCAAGTTAAGGTTTTCTCAATTTTGAAAAATCATTGAAATTATCAAATTGAAGCACTATTGGTTGTCCTGGTCGTAAATTACCTTTTGGTAAATTAAGTATGTATTCAATTTTAAAGTATATATTCTAATTGATTCAATCAACTAAATGAATTATTCAATTAATTAATACAATTTATAAAAAAAAACTGCTACACCAAAACAATTGACAATATGAAACCAAAACGTAAGCAGGAGATGTTTGTGATTTTCTGGTTTTCTTTCGTTAATTTGATTTCAAGTACACAATATACAATGACTGTGCAGTAGAGTCCCTCTTGTCCAGACTTCTCGAATAAAAATTATCATCTAGACAAAAACAGGTGTCCTACAAAGTTGTACCAAGTGTGTGCAAAACGGAAGAATCAAGTGTGAATACACACAATTTCTATGCTAGACTGAAATATGTAGGCTTTATATAAATAACATGAGCATATACTGTACTTTAAAAGTCATTTGATAATGGTATGTTACACTCGGGCAATTTTACCTCACAGGGTCCCTGTTTTTTGTCTAAGGTGCACATCAGCCGGTCTGTCAAGTCACTGTTGTAGGTCTTGGCACATTGTGTGTGGTCTAATACTGTAACATCCCCTACTTGCAGGAATTTCGAGGTTGTGTTTGACTGAAAACAGCAGTCACACACATACTGTTAGTTTTACCCCAGGTTTTAAACCATAATTAGATAACCTGTTGCTCGAAACCGAGCAAAACTGCAGGCTGTAATGAAAGAATAACCAGTAAAAAAATAAACAGCAAGACTTAATCAAAGAGTCTCTCTAAAGTAATTTCTGACTGATTATAGAAATATGAAAAATATAATGTTGTAAAAAAATTATAAAAGTAGTATACAATATTTAAATATAGATCCGCTCTCGTAATGCTTTAGCTATCTCTTATGTAATGTAGGCGGGTGCCCTCTATGAGAACGTAGATGTCAACCACACACTGAAAAGTGAGCACTGTTAAATTATTTATACTACCTATATGTTCTGTTTTTAGGCGTGTTTAAATTAGGGGCGCCAACGAAAGTCTCCGATTGGGAACATAAGAGGGTAAGCAAGTGGATCTAACGACGGATCTAGAACGGATTCGCGTTTAACATAATTAGTTTTTGGAAAAGACCTAAAATTTATTTAGCCAGGTGGTGCTCTGTTTTCAGCTTTAAAAATAGCTGTAACATTTATTTAAGTAGCATAAGTAAGCACATGAATCTCACTTGACTCCTCGGACATCCCCTACACATTTCCGCCACAATTTTAAAAGATTAGGCAAATAGGTTGGCAATGTGACCCTATTCCCGCATATTTTTTCATGGCATTTTTTGTTTGAATTGTGTTTCAAGCGCTTTTGGGTTCCAGTGCCAACGTCGTACTCAACTATACATCTGTGTGGGTTTACGATGACCTTCTAAAGGAATTAGATGATTTACTCGGAGATAACATAGTCATGGATCTTTAAATTGTAGATGCCCTGTGTGATCCTCTCATATAAATGAGCTTCAGAGCTAACCATGGCAAAGGCGAAATTGAATTGACAAATTTTATCCAAATAATTTCAAGATCTAAGCCTCGCAGCCCTGTTTTCAGATTGGGAGTTTCCAATAAGTTCCTGAAAGTATAGTGAATTCCGCAGATGAGGTAAATTGATCTTTCATTTATGGTAACAATAAGTGAAAATTGAACTGCTTCGGTAGTCTTTACTTTGCTTAAAATGTAAGCCACCACAATGTAAACATTTAACGTTCATTTGTCTGAGGAGATGTATCCATGATGTATCACCACGGTGGTAATGCCACTCTGTATCCTTCAAATGTTCCATTGGTAGGTTGATGCAAGCGGTCACGTCCGCGTTCCCTCCAGTCACTCACAGTTCTTCAGAAGTTAACCAAACAACAGAAAACACTACAACGGAATTTTGATATACATTGTAAATTACGTGATACGGTAATGCAACGGGTGGGTAACTGCACAGTGAATAATCACTTTCAAACATTCACTTATTCATCACACCGAAACTTCATGATAATTCAGCAAAATAAGAAGCAAGTTAGATGAATTCAAATATTACCATCAATTTGTTATCAAGTTTTGCTAGGAAACTATTTTATGAACCAGACTTATTTAACAGATGTTTAAATGAAAATATATATTCCGGCTTTGCTCTGGAAGTTTTAAGTCCTGCAGTCTGTGGTTAAACCTTAAAAACTATTTCAAATACGTCCGTATGTTATTTGTAAACAAGGGGAAATGAGTTTGATCAAATGTCAACAGATAGCGCCGCCTTCCAAACCTTAGCCCTTAAGTGTACTTAAGTGGTGCCCTTTCTTAATATTCTGAGACTTATTTGCACATCATCTACGTGAAAATACTTTTAATTTGACACCTCAAACTTTAAAAACTATCAAGCCGTTATTGAGTTATGACTGTGAAAAGAAAACTGCTTGCGTATTAATATATAGATAGATAAAAAACTTTGTATGTGTTATCAAATTAATTTTTTTAAACATGTTTGATGTTTAAACATCAAACCATAACACTGTGACTTAAAATATTTCATTGATGTTTGAAATTCACAGTGACATAACAAGTGCCAAAATAACTTACCTCATACGTTGTTTCACCCCAACCGATAACTTTTGCTGCGGTTTTGGCTTTGAGTTCTGTGGTAGCAATTTTGATCGGTTTCGCCTTTTTGCTGAATGAGATCAGTTTATCTGTCTTTACCACAGCAATGTCATAGTCCCAAGAGCCCGTGTAGTTTGGGTGTATGTGCACCTGAAGCAGAAATAAAATTGTGGTTGACAAAAAAATCTGTGGGTGCCATTGTTTTACAGCTATCTATATAAACAAAATTAGAGTTTTGTCTATACATTGCTCAGAATGATATATTTCTTGGTTATTTTTACGTTTTATACATTAAAGAAGCCGAAACAAGTCTTATCTCATTTTCTGTCTGCCTCTCTGTCTGTCTGTGCCCCAGAAGGCATTTTACGCGGCCTTCTTCTGAAAAACGAGAGCTTCAAATAGGCTTTTTGTATTCACTGGATTGTCTTTAGCCATTAATATGGTCTCACTAATTTGAAATAAAATAACGGACTTTCAAAAACCCATTTTTGTCAAGTTTTCTCCCAATGTTTACCACATACGTAATTTATCAAATCTGTTTGTAGAATACGACATCTATGAAATAACGAACAGCTGTTTGGATAAAGATTATTTTTTCTAGCTGTCACTGATATGTTTACATTAAAATTTAATGTAAACAACATTTAATGTTTTTTACAAATACTGCAATTATTTCTGATCTCATTTTTAAGAAAATCCAAAACCAAGTGACATTAAAAACGTTGTACTTTACATAACGGATTGAATTAATCGCAAGTGCAATAATGTGTAACTGCTAATGAAGTTAAATTCCAGAGACTCTTGAGTGTGTGTGTATCAAATCGTACTTGAGTTTTTATAACCAGAAAAAAGACCCTGAATCAGTGTCGTATACGGCTGGGAAACATACATTTTTTTAATCATATTGTCGCCATTAGCTTACAAACGAGGTTTCCACTCATTGACAGCACTTCGATGACTGTTGTGTAAAGTAAAAAATCACAGCAGCAATTTGGTCGCAGATGTTGCTGCGATATCAGAAGATCGATACTATTTTGTTGTGATCGTAACAGAGGTTTACGTATGCTGCCAAACTCAATTTTCCAATGTGTCACTTTTGGTTTCTTCTCACTGCAATTGCACTGCCATGGCTGCACCGTACCACAGCGAATATGTCTATGGCTCATCTCCTATAGCAATGAATACAGAACCTTATAAGAAGCAAAACCGCCGTATTAAAAGACGCTAGCAGTAGTTCAGGAAGATTTGGCTGGCGATGATTTCGCTTCCTACATAAATCTTTGTGAACGACCGCTGGCGGCAATCTTTGTATCGTCGCCTCTTTTACCTATGGCGGTTTCGCTTCTTATAAGGTTCTGTATTCATTGACTATAGGTACGCAGGCCTACCCAATTGGCGTAACTATATTTTGATGTTGGTTTGATGTTTGGTAGTGGCACTTTTCCTTGGAACTGGTGGTAGCGAGAACCATTTTTAGGTACCAACACGACGAAGTACTTTTGGTGGAGAGTGTTAGTATAGCACTTTTTGCTAATGTTAAATATCAGTGACGTACAAAATCTATTCTATCTAACAAAAGACCAATATTTAAATACCAAACTTGTTTTGCCATGTCTGATACTGGGGAATACATTGGTAATACTGGTAGACACTACCCGTTTAATATGTTTCTCCTACCTCAGCTGCGTTAAGCACTTGGCCTTTGCTGGAGGCTGAGTTGCTTCCCACTCTAAACTGAAGTTCCTCTATTTGTGCCCTAAAATGTTAGGACAAAGTTTAAACTTACTGGAAAATATAAGTATTAAAAATAATGAGAAGTAAATCAGGAAGCTAAATATTAACGTTTGGGTGTAGGCCTATTTATAAGTTTTATCAAACAAACTAATTTATGAAATCATACCCTTTAAATAAAATGCAATCACTTATTTTGCTAAATAACTTCAGTTTTTATTTGTGTAACTCCTATAACGAAATGTATAACTTTGGTATAACAATATTTAAATGTTCAAAAAGGCCAATATATGAAAAATTGTTTAATTCACAAGCGCTTTCTGAAACTATGTTTCCATCGTCAGGCTATGTTTAAACTGGTACAAAAAGTACCTAAATAAATGTAAATTACGGTTGTGAATTAAACAATTTATCATATATTGGCCTTTTTGAACATTTCAATTTAGTTATACGTTTCATTATTCATTGCCAATATCTCCAATAGGCCTATAAGTTATGTAACTCCTGATTAAAAAATAATCAGGTTTATCCCTTACACTTCTGACTTTGGAAATATTTTGACAAAACTATTTTACTAATTGTGGATTAACAGGCAAATACTTATTGTACAAAACTCTTTTCGAATATCCTGAATATGTCCTGTTCTTATCTAAATTTTAATTTTTATTTTTTTAAAGTCCATGAAAGAATATCTAGTATGTAGCTAAATGGGCTTAATTTGGTAATGATAAAGGGTCCACAAAAAGTCTGAGGACGGCATTTTATTTTTTGAAGAGTTGTTGATAATGCCAAGAATCTTTTAATATAAACCTACTTAAAAATCTACTTTTTGAAGCAAATATAACTTTTTTCCATCATGATGGGTACAGTTCATATGGGAAGCAGGGGAATCTTAAGGTGAGCATTGGTCGATTTTAAGGTCTCAATTACAACAACCTGATCTAAAAAGCATCACCCTGGCCGAAATGGTGGTGGTTTAAAATTATCAATTTGAATTTGTTGTACAAAGCTAACTTGTCATTCATTGATATTTTAAACTGTCATCGGTTCAGATAGGACGAAGCTGTTGGGGTCAGGTTTACAGCACTGCATTGTGTTCTCTTGATAGAGACTAATTTAATGTACTACTATCGATCCATACTCTCAGATAAATTTTTTTCCTTATGTCTTGTGTATGGTCCCCAGTGTGATGAAAATTATTTGTTTCAAAAAGTATAATTTAAGTTGCAGTTCTTATGTATTAGGCTTTGTTGCATTATCTACAGTGGTTACAAAATAATATTCTGTTTCTGCATACTTTTTAAAGACCCTCTATAGTAATAATTACCAGACGACATTGAAGGCAGTAGTCAGTAAGTAGTTGTTATTTAGAATCACAGCAGAACCAAATTCACTTTGTGAAATCTGTAAGGAAGCCTGAAACATAAACAATCATCCAATTTTGTTGAACAAACTCCTTCTTTGTAAAATTCTCCAGATCATTATTTTAAATGATCTAAATACATACATATTAAATTTTAGATACTCACATTATTGGGTCACATAATTTGGACCCTATTTGTATGGGTCTGCAAACTAAACCAATCTGACAAAAGAAATTGGTATTTTGCAGTATAAACATTTGTTTTTGGGACTTTATCTTACTAATATTATAAATGTGAAAGTTTGTGTGTTTGTTTGTTTGTTTGTTTGAAGTTAAATCACGCATTAACTACTGGACAGATTGGGCTGAAATTTGGCATGATGATAGCTCACATTCCCGATTAACATATAGGCATATTCTTATCTCAAAAATCCTTTTGGGCTCTGTAGTTCCCCATGTTAACCTTATGAGTATTCATATTTAAAGGGAATTAAAGAACTTAGTCAGCTGTTTCAACTAATAAAGTTGGTTCTATGATATGGAAAAGCATTAAAAAGTTATAAGATTAACCAACAGGGTGCAGCACTATATTTTTGGCATTTATGAAAACAGCTAATTTGAACTAAGCTGCGACAAAAAACTGTGATTCGCAATTAGAACTGTCAAAGTAGGATTGTTTACAGTTATGTTTATGTTTTTAATTTCATAAATAATTTGTCATATTTTGCAAATTGTTGATAATTTATTTTTCTCTATTGTTTAGGTGAAGTGGTAGAACATTATGGCTATGGTAGATGTGCAATACTATAGAATACTGTAAATTTAAAAAAGCAAATTTTATCAAACTGAATCCTCCCTTATTGCAAACGCAAAGCTTGAGTATAACTGCATTAAGCATTTTATACTTATATTCCAGCCCCGTACGAAGGACGGGTACTCTGCTAGTTTATTTTATATTTAAAAGTTTTAGAAAGTTCAAAAGTAATGTTTTTTTATGAACTGTTATTTATTAAATTCAATGTTATATACTTTTAAAACATTGGGAAGGGTGTGCAATATAAGAATCAAGCATTATTGTGGGCATTGCGGCTTAAAAGTAAACCAGTCTTGTTGAAAAAATAAGTCATTTTCAACTAAGACAGTCTACATTAAAATTATTAATGTTCAATCAAGGCTGACTGTAATTTTTACAAAGATGGAAATTTTACTCTTGGCAGGTCTGGCCATGCATGGTCGGACTATTAGTACCTACTATAACAAATTAATAATGTTAAACCATGTTACATTTACTAGGTGGCGTTTGAAGAGGCATCCACAAAAGTGAGCGGAGTCATCAGGGTTAATATTATATTGTTATCAAGCTTCATAATTATTTTTATCTACAATTTTAAGTGAAGAGAACATTTTTGTAAAGATAAATATTGCTGTAATTCGATTAGCTACACGTTGTTTCTTAATAATTAAAGGGCAGTAAAAAACACAGGGATGTAATAATTTTAGGCATTTTCAGAGGCCTGCATTTACATTTTAATTTTAACATTGTATATAAGAGAAACCATCAAATATATTATCGTTACAAAAGTTATATTAACATTCACATTTGCATTGATTCAAGCGTTTAAACCATAACCCATATGTTACACGTTAATAATTTGTATAATCAATCGGAAGGTTATCAAAAACAAAGATTAAGCCGTCGAGTTTTGGTTAAAATTGTTGTGCTTCCTAGTCGTCCTTGTTGATCTTGACAAGATCGAATTATTTGCTACGTAGCGGCATTTGTAGATTAAATTTTCTTCAAGAAATGTATGTAATGTGTTTATTTTGGTTAAACCATTTATGAGTTAATACTAATTTAATTAATAGGTATCTTATTAAAATACTCCTTCCATAAGAAATACATGTAAATTAGTATGCAAAATGGGTCAAACCCTATCCGCTTAAAGGAAATATAACCGATATTCTGTAAATCTTTGTAAATTTTCCATCAATCATAAACCATCATCACTTTAATCATAAAATTTGGTCAAAAATTAAAGCGATGGTGAGCGCTTAAAAACGGGATAATTTGAGGGTTTTTTATGATTCTTAAAAAAACACGACATTTTTGTTACCTCGCTCACGCCCTAATTTTGGATCAATTTTTATTATTAAAGTGTCAAAGTTTTTCAGAATATCGGTTATATTTCTTTTGGGTGGATAGGATTTGCCCCATTTTGCATACTTATTTACATGTATTTCTTATGGAAGGAGTATTTTAATAAGATATTAATTAAATTAGTAATAACTTGTAAATGGTTAAACCAAAGTAAACACATTATATACTTTTCTTGTAGGAAATTTAATCCTCTTAAATTTTATAATTTAGTATTGTATAGATAAAGTCGATCGTTTTCGAGATGTAATCGAAAAATGCGTACCTTTACCCCCCTTTCCCCCTCCACCACAACTGGCTCAACGCCTAGGTGTCAGGACTTTTGGTATGTTAACAACCTAAGCCCCCTGAACAAGTTTCTGAAGGAATTGCTTAGTTACCTGCTCACGCACTCTACACCCACTTTTGGATCATTCATTGACTGGAATAATATTGAAAATTCAATTTTCCTCAAGTAAGCCAATCACATAAAAATATCAACTAAGTCACTATTATTTACAAAGCTGTATGTATTACCATGTAAACACATAAACTTTGTTCGCATTAAAACACTTGGTTCTGTTCTTAAAACCCCTACAAGATATACTAACTAGAGGACCCATGCTGCTCCGCAGCGTATATATATATAATATAAATATCATATTCGAGAAAATTAAACTTATGATTTTTGATTAAGTCCTTTGTGAACCGTGAGATCCTTTTGACTATGGTGACCCATTGTTCCCTTTGATCTCCAGTCGATAGGCCAAGGGATCTCATGCGCAGACCTTGTAGGGCTGGGCACATAAATATCAAGTGGAATGCTGTCTCCTCCTCCTCTCCACATTTCCTACGTAAGAGGCTTTCAACTTGAATTCCCATCTTGTGTAAATGTCCACGGAATACCCAATGGCCGCTAATAAAGCCAACCCACCTTCCGCAGGATCTTCCTACTCAGCCCAAGGGCATCTGCCGCTATCGCACCTGTAGGTGCCTTCAGCATTCTCTTTGACTGTACATTTCCTTCTGTTCTTTCCCAGTTCCTTCAATGTTCTATGCCCATCCACTGGCGAACAGCTCTCCGTGCTGTGCTGTAAGCAATGACACACGTCGGCTCTGGACCCATGAGCGGGCTTTCAGCTCCTTTTTTTGCCCACTTGTCAGCTCCCTCATTGCCAGCAATACCTTTGTGCCCTGGAACCCAACTAAGGATGATCCTGTTGGTCTTTCCCAGGGCTTTCATGACTTGATGACAGTCCCATACAGCCTTGGAGGTAAAGTCGAAACTGTCAAGTGCCATTAGTGCTGCTTTGCTGTCTGAGTTCATGTATACAGTGTGGCCTATAAGACCGCGCTTCAAACACACTCTCGCACACTCAGACAGGGCAACAACTTCTGCCTGGAATACAGTGGCCATTTTTCCCAAACTTACGCAGAACTTCGCCTTGGGTCTGACTACATATATTCCAGCCCCCGTGCCCGTTGGCTTTTTCGAGCCATCCGTATACCAAGTGATTCCCCTTTTCATGTATTCAGGTTCACCCTTGTCCCAGGCATCCCTGTCAACAATGTTGACATTGTATGGTTTTTCTAGATCTGTGATCTTCACCATCCTGTCTGGTAGCATTTCCAAGGAGTTCATCTGCACCTTGTCTACAATTCTTGTGTGCTCACTGGAGGCATTATACTTCCAGTTGCCACTGCAAGCCATTCTGTAGGCTGCCATCCTTGCCTCTCCTTTCACAATGATGTCGAGAGGTGGCAGGTTTAGCACTACTTCCAGGGCTGCAGTTGGAGTGCCTCTCATGGCTCCTGTGATGCTAAGGCATGCCACTCGCTGGATCTTTTGTAGTCTCTTTACAGCGGTAGTTTGCATTACCTTGGTCCACCAGACTACCGAGCCATACACCATCATCGGTCTTGCAACCTTAGTGTATAGCCAGTTAGTCATTTGTGGGCTTAGACCCCAGGTCTTCCCAACAGCCCGTCTCATCATCATAAGTGTGGTCTGAGAGCGTTGCGTTATATGTGCCAAATGGCTGTTCCAGGTGAGCTTGTCGTTCAGCCTTATTCCTAGGTACTTGAACTCCCTCTTAACCTGGATCTGATTACCGAAGAGAGTTGGTACTCTAGCGATATCAACATTTCTCTTCCTTGTAAATGGTACCGTTACAGTCTTCATTGGATTGACCCTCAGACCTTCCTGGTTACACCACCTCTCCACTATGGACAACGCCCTCTGCATGAGATCCAGGCAAGTGTTCATAAATTTTCCTCTTATTAGTACAACAATATCGTCAGCATATCCTTGAGCGTACATGCCCTGTGCATTGAGCTCGGACAGGAGATCGTCGACCACCAGGTTCCACAGATTTGGTGACAAGACGCCACCCTGTGGACACCCTCTTTGGGCCTTGAACTCTCTCACTGTCCCACACAGAGAAGCTTGCACTCTCCTACTTTCGAGCATGTTGCCTATCCACCTCACTACAGTGCTTTCCACATTTCTTGACACCAGCTTTGATACAATAGAGTGAGTACTAGTGTTGTCAAAAGCTCCTTCTATATCAAGAAATGCAGCCACCGCTATTTCCTTGTTTGAGATAGCACTTTCAATCTTGCTAACCAGCGCATGCAGGGCTGTTTCGCATGACTTTCCCTTCTGATAGGCATGTTGGTTCGGATACATGTTCTCTACAGTCTCCGGGCACGCTTCTTGGTATCAGCTTAGACAATAGACAATTTCTTTATTACAATTTCATCAAGAATTGTTACAGCGTCAAATTTTACAGATACAAAGTGAAATGGAAAAGCTTCTTCAGTGTTGTGTGTGGTCTTGCCATGCAAAGAACTCATTTAGGGTGTAGAAAGCTTTGTCTACCAGCCATCTCCGTAGCTTCCTCTTCATCAGCACAGGGCCTCCAATTT